CTCTATGGTTCCTACCTGAACATTTCACCCAAACCCTTCAGCACGCCCTTCTTTGCTTTGTTCTTGTCCTTGTCTTTCTCACTCTCCATCTTCTTAGGTTCTCTCAGCCCGACTTTGGCAACATCTTTCTGCCTGTCGTCCATCCCGCTGTGGACACTGAGGTCGCCGCTGGTGGATATCGACTCGCGACCTGACCGGTAGCTGTCCTCTGTGTCCTCGTCCACTGGAGGTGGGGAGAGAAGGGAGACTGGATGTTCAACTTATGAAATTAAAGAAAAAAAAAGGATATATGAAAAATTACCATCACAAAGAAATTTAAAAACCCATTGAATGAATGCATGTCCTTGTCCTTGTAAACTGACTAACTTGTGGACATTTTTGTGTCTTCTAAAGTCACTGGGCTGTAGTGGTTATCTTTWTTTGGACTGACTTTAAAAGGTAATCAGTTGTACACGGGCATCCAGACATGGTTCCCAGAAAGTTTCATTCAAACCTGACAAGTAGTTCATGAGCTATTTTGCTAACAGGCTTGGCTCCAAATAGTTATTGAGAAAAATTGAAACAGAGACGTGATGAAATCTGTTAACACTTAAAGAATATGTTGGGGATCAGTCTCGGGTATTATTGCACCAAACTTTGTCAATACATTTAAAACTGACTGAGTTGTTGGCATATTTGTGTGTTTTTTTAAGGTCACTTGGCCAAGGTAGCCATCTTCAATCAGATTGTCTCCAAAATGTAATCAGTTGTAGATGTATATCCYATACATATTTTRTGTAAGTTTCATTAAAATCCATCTWGTGGTTCATGAGATATTTTGATAACAGACACAGAGGGAAAACAACAAAGGGTAGCTAGGTGGCTAGTGCCACTTATGTAATCCCGAGGCTGTGGGTTTGAGCAAAGGTTGTGTCAGGAAAGTCATTCGGTGTGAAACAATTGCTAAATCTACCTCACCAGTTTGCATGCTGTGGTGACCCCTGCAGAAGAGATCATCCAAAAAATAATAAAAAATACAAGTTAACAAGCCTAAAATGTTTAACGCTCAGCAGACTGCAGAAAAATTACCRATTTCATCAGTTACACTGCTTCACTCCATTCTTTTAGTAACATCAGTGGAACCATTAAAAAAAATAAAAAATAAAAACCGTGCCCCACAAGAAACAGCAGCTTTGAACAAAACACACTGAATGCTTTCGCCTCATTAGAGCAGAATATATTTACATTGTGCACCCACTGAGAATAGTGTTCACTTCAACAGACTCACACTTAGCTGAAAGCCTGAAGTTCTTTCGTTTGTGTACATTTCACACAGATCACATAAGAGCACCCCCTCCTCTGCTACTGTTTTCCTAATTTTTTTTTCTCCTTTTTTTATATTAAAAAAATGTGATTAAATGCAAGTGCAGGCAGTAATGATAGTCATGCGAATCTGGTTCTTAATTACATCTGAACTCATTTCGAACCTGACATCAAACCAAAACCAAACTCCTTAGGTGATGCAAGGTTGATTGAACTCAAAGTTTCCATCACATCTAATCAGAAGCAATGCACAAATTGTAATTAATCTGTCACTAATTATACATTTTAATAATCTGGAAAGGGGCTATGGGGGATCATAACTGCAAATATGCTGTGTGCTGCAGCTCCTGTCTACACTATCTTTTTTTATTATRATTTTTGCTCTGATGAATGTCCTTCAGTTTGTAACTTTTACAGTCTTGTATGTTTTGTTCGAACTTCTCTTCTTGATGTAAGAGAGAACTGCGCTCATGCTGGGGAAGAAGGTAAGAGGAGGGGAGTTTGTATTTAGAGTCAGGAGGAATGATACAGCCTTAGAGAAAGGAAGAGCAGTCAGATTCACATTTCAAGGAGGATCAAGTTAGCCTTTTTTAATGATCTTCAGAACTGTCAGCTTTTTGTTTCAGCTTCCWTCTTGGAAGAAGAAAGAAAACAGCGAAATGGAATATTCACATGAAGCACTGAACGCCAGGAGCAGAAAGCAGATAAGCATCTTTAATCTGCTTCTGCTCAGTCCTGCAGTTTATTTCCACACATGGCCTCTCCCTGCTGCTTCTACAGCTGTGCAGGTTTTAGTGCCCAGTTCTGGATAGGTATGGGTTTTATCACATCCACTTAGGAACAATGGCAGTAAACAGCAGCTGTGAGCCGTATCTGGTTACTTAATTGATTAAGATTAGCAGTGCTAATGCTACTACAGGTTTAATGGGTATTCCGGTCATTCGGAAGTGGGATTTGGTGGAAAAGSTAATTTAGGATCTGTTAATTATTTAAATGTCAGGACTGATGYCCTAATGGCTAGTCCAAAAGCCGCCAAGACCTAAGCAGATATCTGCTGACATAAAACAGCTTTCATCTTTTTAATACAAGTTTCTACAAGCACTGTTTCATATACACTTACACCACGTTCAACTTTGAAATAAATGTAATTTCCATYTATTTCTGTGGGTATTTGTGAGTGCTAACAACAACAGAAGTTACCACCCAGTAAGAATTTCATCTTTTTGCTAAAGTAAATCAAATTAAATGAATATTTTTTCAAAACATACTTAAAACAACCATGTTGACTAAAGAATTGTACAGTAAATAGTGCATAGTTCAAAATAAAACTAAAAATAAAGATTCAATCACCTGCAACAGAAAAAAAAAACATAGAGGTCATGCGAAAACTGATGGGAGTAAAAGGTTTAAACAGCACTGATTCACCCAGTAAGAGGCTTTGCTCGGACTGGACTGACAAGTTAATGAACAGAAACACAGAAGTTTTCAAGTGAAKTGCAGTTTTTCAGTCTTTACACCATTGCCAGATTTGCATTACATGTTTATTTTTAGGRGCATGGTGAGGAGAGCCCAATGGAGGTGTTCTGAGAATGTCCCACTGGGAGGAGACCCTGGGGATGACCCAAGACAAGTTAGAGAGACCACATCTTTACCAGAAGTAATGGAAGATGTGGCTGTGGAATGAGATGTCTGGACCTCCCCGATCAAGCTGCTGACCCCTCGACCTGACCTTGGAACAAGCGGAACAGGATGGATGGACATTTTTGGCTCAAATTTAACACAAGTGACCCCCAGGCTAAAAGTGCTTCACTTCACTGGTAGCTGCTGCTATTTTCACTTGCAAATAACCACAGAGATCTATGTAAATAACATTTGTTTTAATATACTGGTAGCAGAAGTAGACATTAGGACATTTTTTCAGGTTGTGCAGCAGACAACCTCTCGACAAAATCTGGTTGTCCGCCAACATTTTTGGTTGTTTGCAACCTTTTCATGAAAAAATGGGAGGAACAAAAATCTCACAAAAATTTAATTTAAAATATGTAATTTATTAAGTATATTGGGCTATGTAAAAATGTTCAGTCAGCCATCAGGTTGAATGTTTGGATTTTCTAAGCCAGTGAGTGTCAGACTGTTTCAGGAGCTGCTTGAATGTCATTAAACGTTGCAAGAAAGGTTTAAAACAAGTTTTTTTTTTTTACTTGTGTTGTTTCAGTGTTTTGAACTGAGGGGTTGTCTAATAGATTTAAAAATATATAGCACAGGAAGTCCTTTGCACTTTAGGCCTACAAATTATTGTTTTTAATTTGTTATAAGAACTAAAGRGTGATTGGTTAAAACTTTACAGCGGATCTCTTTATTGGTTGAAAGAACCGTTACTTTAAACTCTGTTGGATTGGATGGCTTTAAGACAAACCTTTTTTTCCCTCCTTTTATTTTAATAGATGATGAAAATCTAAAGTAGTGGTGGTGGACCTTAATCCACAATTTCACTTGATTGTCCACCACAAGGTGGGATCAGGTGTCCCAAATGAAAATAGGTTATCTTGGACAACCTGAATGCCCTTATGTCAACCCCTGGATAGTGTAAAGATCAAAGTCTTGATTTTAGTGATTAGAGCAGTTTTATGAGGGCTATGCTTGGACCTACCCTCAGTTTATCTGTTCTTTTGGAGGTAAACCCTAGAAAAAGAGAGCTCATAGAATTATCTACTCTCAAAGAAATTTACTCAACTTAGTTGTGTCAACTGGTTCTGCTAAACCAAACTTTGTAAATGCAAAATTATTTTTATTTGAAGCTTTGTTCACACCAAAGAGTTCATGATTTGCTTTAGACAGATATCACACTAAACATCATTCTGCAGAACCTTCCAGAAGCAACACAAATACTATGTACACATATGTACATGTAAGTCTTTGTATCTTTGACTGTACGGTCCTTTAAATAAGTCATAGTGAGTTACCAAGAATGTCAGTCTAACAGAAACATGCCATTTAGAAATTTAATGCGATTTCCTGTCTGCCTCCATTTAATTTGACACTTTGAAAAGAAGTGAGATGGAAAAAGAGAGCTATCTTCTGTCAAAAAAGGAAAGAAAGAGAAGGAAAAAAAACAGACAAAAGCCTTTAACGTCAGACTTCAGAAGGTAAGGCCATCTAGAGTGATTTGATAGAGCTCAAAAATAAAAAGGCCCGGCAATCTCACATGACAGCAGAAGCCTTGATGAAAGTGTCAGCAAACTCAAAAAAATAATTTGCAGGGACAGGCAACCAGAAGAAACATTTTGTCACTTTTTTGAAAGTCTACCATTAAACTTTCCTGCTTTAATAATCAAGGACATTTAAGCTGGCTTGTCAGTGAAGGTTATGAAAGACAAGTAAAATTGCCAGTCTTATTTCGATACGTGAAAAAAAAGGGAGTTTTTGCACAGCAGAAATGACTTTCCTTTTTTTCTTTCTTTTAAATCTTGCAAACAAAGTAGCACAAGAAAAGGTGCATTTTGCCAAGCAGAATATCTCGTGGGGACACCTTTTTTTCCTTCATTTTTTACGTGATGCCACATTCTTATTTTATGTAAATAAAAGTCTGGGAGCAGAGGAAGGCAAGGGCTTATCTGTCAACTCTGACTATTAACCTCAGTGACGAGCACAGCCTGGCTGCTTTTATCTAAATTGAAAAACAGAGTTATTTGAATATCATGGGGAGAATGCAATATACAGCGGCCGGGGAAATCGGTTGCTTTCCCCATTTTTCTTTGCAGAGATAAGACTGTATTTAGTGGCTTGCCGACAGAGCTTATGAGAACAAAGCATTTCAGGCAAATAATTCCTTTRTTTTTTCTTCTTTCAAATGTCCCCCAACTCCTTTAATGGAATCTTTTAATGGTGAAAGGAAATTTATATCAAGTGATTACTCTTGTG